CCATGAATCAAAATACAAAATAGCTCAAAATGTCAGTATATGGATTGTAATACTATTACACAAAGTTTGGATTGTGAAAAAACAAAACAATAGCAAGATAACAAGGAGTTGCGCTAGGAGAAAATCAATGTGTCCATAATTACCAGCTGCAGCAATGCGCAATAAAAACCACAAAGTAAAATATAGTATGCTGCGCTTGGTGTGTAAAGTGAATGAGTAAATAAATAACCTATGAACCTAGCTGTGTCCACCTATATATACAATCACAACTGTGTATCATGTAACAGTGAATAACCGTAAACTAATGCATGTGCTCTCTCACATTCGTGATTAATGAATAAATAAAGTGATTCCTTCTGGAAGTGAAATGTTCAACGACACCCTGAAACAGTGTACCAATCTTCTCTTGTGTTAATGTAGTGCTATTAGTAATGACGGATGTGACTAAGTGTTGTTTCCTCCCAATGGTTTGGAGGTAGATCTAACACTTGTGATTGTGTAAAGAATTATTATAGCTTATGAGCCTGTGAATATATGAAAAAGTGTGGAAAAATAGATAAAATATGGAGGAAACAAATGAGGGGGAGCTCTCCTGTTACACCACTCAGCTGTTAAATATCTTGATTTAAATATCAAAATCTACAAGGGGAGTCAATACCTGAATGTAATCCTACATCTAGGGTATAATCCCAAACAACAAGGCAAAACCGGCAAGTCCGGTCAATGTCCTGTGACCGCAAATAAGTCCTCACATAGGATTGATTCTGATGCCAAGAAGCTATACAAACACAAATAACTGATTTGCAGGATGCAGTAGCTCTCTTGGTGACATGAGCAATCAGCTGTTTGCCCTAGTAATCTCTACCCCCTAGTTACAGGCAACTGTGAGGGTCAGCCACTAATGCAAAAGCTGACTCCAAGCATTAATGTGGAAGCCTTCCTCATCACATTTAAGAGGACAGCAGCACAAGAGAGGTGGTTCCAACCCTATTACGTCTCATTTTATGTTTAAAAAGTTTGCATACATTGGCATAGGTGAGGGACAATTTGAGTGCACTGTGCATCTGAACCACCATCCCACCAATGTGTTGCTGGACTGAGGCAAGCAAGGTAATATTGGGAAAATCAGCTCAACAGGTAAAATCCTCTATATTGTATGTATACATGGGGACAATAAGGGGTACTAACTAGTGCCAGTCAATTTCCATGGCCTGTGACACTGTCACTCAAGAAGTTTGGGTTGTGAAAAAACTTGTACATTATACTGGGATAGGACTCTCCTTTGTTTTATTTTGTTGGAGCTTATGAAGTAAAGTAATTGTGCAGGCCAATGGCTCCTGCAAATGAATGGAACAATGCAGACACAAAAATAATTGGTAATTATGATAGTGAAAATGTTCATGATTATGATGTTCTAGGTCTAGACTGAGCTGACTTCTAGGGGGTAAGGGGAGCCTTCTTCATTACAAGTCATGATCAAGGAGGATGATGAGCAAAATTTCTACAATCCAGTGCATCCTGACTTGAATGTGTCAAGGAGAGCATTTGGCACTGCCAAAATGCAAGATCTTAAATCGGTAAATGCTAGAAAGCAGGTTACTGTTACGTGAGTTCCACAAATGCCTGATGCCGAAAGGTTTCCTCACTTAGCAGCTATGGCAATTTACTGAATCAAATTATGGAAGTTTATGGGAGTTTATGGAAGATTATAGGGCAGTTGCTGGTTCTCCATCCATATAGGTGGATGATGTACGATTTAGCTCACAAAGAAGCACTGGGAGGATGATGAGGGGCCAGAAAAACTGAGGCAGATAAACGATTGGTGTTACTGGCTGGGGTTAAAGGCTGAGGTTCTAAGACTTCCCAGTAAGCCACTCGTATCACATTTCTGAAACCTCTTGGTATCTCTGTTCATAATTGAAGTACCATTTGAGAGCAATGAAATAGGTCTAGTGGGATTCTGCTGAAGTTGTTCGGGTACACACATATATTTCTTGGTAGTTCACAATTATGTGACTAGGTATCCTGAAACCGTTCCTCCAAAAAAATTCCTCTAAGATAATTACACAGGAGTTATTCTATATGTTGTCGAGAACAGGTTTTCCCAATGAGGTCCGACAGACCAAGGCACCCTATATATGTCAAAGGTAATGTCAGACGTGTGCAAACTGTTCCAAATTAAAGGAGAACTATGGGGCAACCTTTTTTGCCCAAAGTTCTCCTCAGGTTCAAAAACTCAGTATACAGCTATATGATGAGAGGGCAGGGCCGCTCCACAGCCATGATGGATCCCGACAATACTGTTGAGATACATCCCGCTGGCTGATTGACAGATGGCTCTGAGAAAAAGGATAGGGGGGGGGAAATCACTGCGGCAATCGGTGATTGACAGTCACCACTCTCTGCAGGGAGGGGATTGGGAAGTCAGCAATCGGCGGTGTGTGTTTGCTGACTTTACGATCTAAAGAGCCAACCTATAAAAGCTTTAGTGTCACAGGTCAGCTTGAATTATGGGGATGAGTGTTATTCACTTAGTAATAACCAGATGGATGACCTAGTCAAAAGATTTAACAAAACTCTAAAATCTATGCTTAGATTTTAGTCCAGAGACTACGAATACTAATTTACTAATGCAGCTAAACTATGTCTAGCACATACTGTAATTAATTCTGAACTGCTTGCTTGTCATATATGTGATTAATGAACCTATAACTAACCTCTTTGGGACGCTGTTAGGCTGCCTCAAGTTGCTTTGAAAATTCACACATGGACATGATTTTTACAGATGGGTGTACTGCAACCTAACCTAATGACTTACCTTTGCATCTGTTTTTAAAAAAAATTGCATTACAATAACATTAAAGTTTATTTCCTTTTATAGAGTATTTATGTTATTTTGTTAATTAACTGTAACATCTCTAAAATCCCTTAACAGTAAAACTGGCCACACAAAGTCAGATATCGACCAGATTTGATTTAACCCCTTTAACCCACGATCGATGACAGGATTATACCGTCACAATCGTTAAGTTCATTAACGACCAGTGATGGGATAATTCCATCATGCAGTACAATGGTGTGAGCGAGCTAGTTTGTTACAAACTGTTACAAAGTATCTCTGAGGAGAATGTTGTAGTCTACTCAGAGATACTAAATATCAACACCCCTGTAAATAAAAAAATAACCACTTAGTGCCCCCTAGTTTAAAAAAACACAATTTAAAAATAAAAATAAAGTATTTATCCATTTAGAAAATTAAAAAAAGAAAAAAGTGAAAAAGTTTAAAAAATAATAATTTAATTAACAAAATTATAAAAACATATAGTGCCGAAAATTGCTACACACTAAAATTGTATTTCACTTGTATTTTGTGACCTATAACTGCAAAAATAAGCGGAAACCCCAGACATGTGATATACCCTATAAACCAGTACAAATAAAAAATGTATTATGAATTATTTTCTGTTAGCTACACTAATTATGTAGACATTATTATTGGCAAAACAGTAAAACATTTTTTTTTTTTGCAATTTTTCTAAATAAAAAAAATAAGAATTTATATATGCATGTCACATCAAATTAAAGTCAATTTTATCCTTTAAAAAATAGTATATCATATGTGTAGGTGCAATGCATGAGAAAAAGATGGAAATAATGGTTAAACAAACACATAGCAAAAATGGCAAAATAGCTCACAGACATTTTCTGAAGCTGTGTCACTAAGGGGTTAACAACTCTTCAATGTTTACTAATACCCAAGTAGTGTGAGGTTCTACATAACTGGATATGATTTAAATTGTGTAGGTTAGTGTTCACATTGCTTTTTTGTAAAATAAACCGCCATTTGAAAAGGCAAAAAATCCTTCCCATTACCTCCATTAGCCAGAAAAACCTATATCTTTAAACTGACTTTATTACTAGATGTTAGGGATCCATGACTTCTGGACTAAGTCCCTCTTAGCTGCCTGTACTCTTTCCAGCAAAATAACCTTCAACCACTTCAACCCATTACAGAAACTGCTGGCGATGCTCCTGAGAAACAAATCAGAGCCATCAGTTATACTGGTAGCCAATCCCAACTATTGTATGGAGCACAGATGCCACATTTGGGAAGCAATACGGTCAATAGCCAAAAAAGTATCCTCACTGATGAGGTAAAATGAAAGTTGAGCAGGCCGAGTGTAGAGATCAGGAGTGGTAGAAAAGTGAAACAAAATGACATAGGTGCACAGAGGAGTATTTTTCGGAAAGATAAAAGCAATAGCAGTACAACAATACAGTACCTACATTTTAAATGATAGGCTTAAAGGAGAACTATGGGGTCAGTGTTTTTCCCCATAGTTCTCCTTAGAGTAACGGGAGGACACAAACTAGCGTCCTCCCGTTACCCTAAGCTCAGTATACCGCGAGCTACAGCTCGCGGTATACTGAGACACCGCAGCCGGAGCGGATCCCGACTTAGATGACGGAATCCGCCCAGATGCGTGAGTGACAGCTGGCTCTGCCTATCTAGAGGCAGAGCCAGCTGTACCCGCCCCCTCCCCCGTCCGTTCCGCCAGTCAGCGCTGACAGATCGGAGCGGGGAGAGGGGAATCCAGCCCCTCCCCCTGTCAAGGCAGAGAGCCGTGACAGGATGGAGAGGCGAGCGAACCCGGTATGTGTTCGCTCACCTCCCGATCTACTGAGCCGACCTGTGACAGTCTCATTGTCACAGGTCGGCTAGAACTATGAGGTGAGTGAAAAGCAATCACCTCATAGTTCTCCTTTAAGTAAAAATTATTGTAAATTCAGACTAACATTTTTTAGGGAATTTTTAACACACGCACGCACACTATCTAGTTTTCTGAACTTGCATTTTTGGATTTACTTGGCGTTTTATAATTAAAGAATGTAATCAGTGTATATTTTTGAACTGCTGAATTCTCTGATGGCATGCTTCTTTTTATAAGTTATCATAATACAATATATACATTTGTGAAATAAATACATGCATGTATTACCTCTATGGTATTATATTTAATGTAGAAGTGGCTTGCAGTTCTGCCCATGTCTGTAGAGGAGAAGAATCCAGTTCTCTCTTCAAAGCGAATCATGCGCGCTTTGTCCAGTTTTCGCCCCACTTCAATAACCAATTGTTCTCTGTGCTTCTCTAGCAAGGGGTCCACCTGTCCAACAACCCAAATGAAAAATCAAGTAAAGGTTACAATGATGAATTTCATATAGTTTAATCACACTGGAATCTATACTTCTATCTATTTTAAAACATACTTTTAGATTGTAAGCCCTCACGGGCAGGGCCCTCCTTACCATCTTGTCTTAAATTGTATTGTGACTGTAATGTCTTCCTTATATTGTAAAGCGCTGTGCAAACTATTGGCGCTATATAAATCCTGTATAATAATAATAATAATAATAATACTAGCTGAACTCTTCATTTAATGCATCCCGTTTGTTGCATACAAATTGTAACAGTTGTTTGTTGCGTGAATTTTTTTAGAATTTTTTTAGTGGTGTCATTATATGCAAACTAAAAAACAACATTTCTACTGTCTTTCTTTCTATGTCATTATTAATATCCATATACTTTAAAATTTCTATAAAAAAAAGCATATTCTGGCGTGTTTTCGGAGCTGTTCCCAACCCCGGTACAATGCATCATATATGATGGACTTGCCCGATCGTCTCCAGGCTTTGAGATTGGGTGTTCCATCATTTTCATGTGTTGTTGCATATAAACCTTCGTAAAAATCCATTGGAAGCTCGCCTTAAAAAACCCACCCTGGCATTACTATGCTCTGAACGAGCATTGATCCAACATATTTGAAGCAATTAAGAATAGACTGTCTGATATTATGATTAATGAGAAACTTACCACAATTTTGGCAGATACTCATACTAAATTTCTTGAAATCTGGCAACCATGGATCTCTTACACACATCCTCTTAGGTTTGACCCCCGGTTGCTAGACTTGTATCTAATTATACTCTGGCCCCCAGGGCCTTCCTTTTATTTCCTCTCTTTTTTTCTATTTCTCTATCCCTCTCCTTTTCACCTTTCTCCTTCTCTTATTTGTTCTCCCCTTTGTTTATTTTTTTAGAAGGGGAGTTATGTTCACATTTTGATATTGCCTATTATAATTTTTGGTTGTTCACCCTCATTAGTGACACTTAGTTCAAAAACCTTATGAATATCCTATGTAAATGTTCTCAAACATAGATGCAGTTGCACATTTGCGATATATCTGTGAGGGTTTTGTTAAGTTTCTATTCTTCGTTGACTATTCATACAATTTTTGTATTTGATTTGCTATGTTTATATTCTGCATGTAGCAGGGTACACAGTGTTGCAATTTAAAAGGTTCATTGCTTGTCTTTGGCTAAGGCCAATTCAATCACCAGGGCCTAAACACATTGGACTAAAACTAAATGAGCTAAAAGCTGTGCTGTTGTCATGTCAGAAAACAAAACCAATATTTATCCTGGCATTACTGATTAGAGAATAGGGGTTAGATATTCATAAGAAATGGATTTCCTACCTGAAACACCTTGTGACTGATGCCGTATACTAATGGATTTGCCCTCATCCGTACAAAAAGATAAGTGTAGCTCAGCCACTTCACTGCTTCTTCAACATTGGTAACTGTCCCAAGAGTAATCTGTGAAAAAGGACCACAGACATATAATACAGCTTATTCATGATGATATGTATATTAGTGTTATAAAAACAATTCACATTAAAATATCTGAATAAAGCCAGAACTTGGGTCTAAACTGTGACACATATTTCACTTTCAGAGCTGTTTAAGTATAATTTATTAAAAGTGTTTCTTGGCTTATATAGATTTATACAGGCAAGATGACTGTCAAAAAATAAAATATAACGGGCTATCAAAATTGGTTTGATGCAGTAATCTGATTAGGTCTAGACTTAACATATAATGTGACAATTGAATAAACAATTAAAAAAACCTTTGTGCTCCATCAAAATTGAAATAATTTTGCACCCAGAACTAATAAATGCAAAATGTAAACCTTATCACACTGTGCAACACATTCTTAACAATGGTACTATGAACAGCACTGTAAAATAAAAGCAACATTAAAACATATAAGAAAAAAACATATGTGCTGTACTTTGTAAACAAATGCAAATATAGCTGTAAATGGAAAGAATCAGATTTTTCATAACAGGCTCCTTGGTGAAGTTCCAAGGTGCAGTGGACAAACTGAATGGAAGAGTATCAAAGTGGTAGTGTTATGTGTTCACAGTAAAAGGCAAGTAGTGTTGATGAACAGGAAAAATGGGAATATACAAATATGCATCCTTGATAATTACGGATGCCAGAAAGTCTCCCAGGCAAATGGACACAATGACAGAGTGGGTAGATTTCATATGGAACTTTTGTACTCACAGGAACCTATGGAGAATCTTCAGATTGGGAATAGGGTGGCCCTCCCCACTTGCTTGGGGACAGTGAAGAGGTTGGCACAGAACCTCTAGATCAGGGGTGTCAAACTCAATTTAATCGTGGGCCGCATCAACATTATGGTTGCCCTTAAAGGTATCTGTAAGACTATATAAATGTATCTAATCTTTATCATAATTGCCTCTGCATTCAATTATCACTGGTTTTAGTAATAACTTAATACCTAGATCTGAAAGTAGAAGTCTAGGAAATGGCCTGGTGGGCTGGATATGGCCCCTGGGCCTTGAGTTTGACACATGTGCTCTAGATCAGTGCTCCCCAACCTTTTTATCGTCGCGGACCGGTCAACGTTTGATAATTTTACCGTGGCCCGCTGAGGGGGGACGTTGATTGTTTATATTTTAGATTGTTTTGATTTAATAATTTTAAATTTAATTGTATTTAAACATGCCTTCAAAATAAAATACAGTTACACCAAAAAATTAAAGCGTTGGAATTCTTCACCTATTCCACCACCGAAAAACTGGGCGATATTACGTTAAAATGTGTGACCACGTCACTGGTCACACATTCTAACGTAGTCTCAAACTTTAATTGCACTTATTGCAGGGGGCGGGGCTTGTGACACACACGTCTCCTGTGACTCACCTCCCCTCCCGCCGCCTGTTACTATGGACGCGGCCGGGAGGGGAGGTGAGTCACAGGACCCACCCCCTCACTGTGAAGCCCGTCGGCAGTGCAGGGCCCAGCGGCCTGGTACCATTTGATCCACGGACCGGTACGGGTCAGCGGCCCGGGGGTTGGGGACCACTGCTCTAGATCATCAGGAGCTGATCTAGGGTAGCAAGAAGATCCAGCTTCACTTTGAGATCTTGATAGGTTCAACAGTAGAAAGTGAGGAGGAGAAAGGCAGCAAAACTGTTTTCTAACCCTTGGTTAAAATGCTCTGAACCCAGATGTCAAGAACATCCCAGATCCAGGAGGTGCACAAGACCTGGAGACATCTCCCCACTAATGAAAATATGTGCACCCCTTCATAGTAAAGAAGGCTTGCTCCCATATTTAATGGGCTTGGAGGCCTTAATGTAGGTATCCAAAGATTTGAGGAACAGGCGTACCTCAGTAAAGAAGATGCATTACAGGAGTTTCTAGCAAGGAAGCTTCTCAGTCCAGCATTTAAGCCATGTGGACAGAACGGAGACCCCCATCCTGGAGATTTGTCTGAGGGTATCTGCCAGGCCATCCACACAGTAGCGCAAGGCCAAAGGAAAGAGCTCTAGCCATTTTAGAGTGGCGGTACCTGAGACAATAATAAGATCTGGGCATCCTAAAACTAGGTCAAGAAACCCCATTGCAAACTCATTCTGTTCAAATTTGCCAGCTTCAACACAATTAGACAAGCCCTCACATTGACACCTTTGTGCAGAGTCTGCACACTTCAAAAGGACTTCAATTCAACCTTAGGAAATTCCATTAACAAGGTTGCAAAAACATTCATTAGCAGAACACCAATAACCAGAGATCTGCTACTGAAACCTGCAATACTTCCCATCACAACATGTTTACCTAAACCTGTGCAATAAACCTGTTAATGGCAATCATATAAGCACTTAGTAGGGTCTGACAGGTGAGAGCAAAGCTATTTAGTTACAATGGTGATAGGAAAATCAGTAATAAACTGTTTGTGTTAGTTCACTCAAGAAGACAGGAGGCCAACATCTAAAACTGGAAGAAAAAAGGTATAATCTTAAACTGCGAAGGGGATTCTTTACTGTGAGAGCTGTAAAACTGTGGAACTCCTTTCCACAGACAGTGGACATAGTCTACATAGTTTTCTCAGAGAGCAAGACATCAAAGATACAGGTAATCTTAGTAACTCAAACACACACACACACACACACGTTGAACTCAATGGACCTGTGTAACTTACCTACTATGTATTCCTAAATCCATACATAATTCATATCTCCTGAGCTACAGGCACAGTTTAATAGCCCATAACCCTGTGTAGTGTTGCAGAGATGCATCAGCAGCTGCGACTTCACAGGCCGCCTATGGGATAGAAAGAAATAGTGCCCAATTCAAGAGTCCCTCCCCCAAGATAACCATTGCAGGGATAGGGGCTGCTACACTGGACAATTCACTTGAATATTCTAAAATTCTCTTCTGCAGACCTATTAACATGTTTTAGAAGATTGCTGTGTTCCGTTACCAAACCTAGATTATAAAGAGAATCTCTGACATTCTGGTGTATAATTTCCTGAAACTATTCAGGAATTAATTGGATTCGAATCTTAACTAATTCAAACTACCTATATTATTAGATAGCAAAGCAGCCACCATCATTATACTGCCTTCACCATGCTGGAAGGAGGGGTTTAAACACTTAGTACACCTAGGTACACACATTCTCCCCGCCATTTATATAAATCTCAGGGGGCCATCGATTACTTCCTCCAGAGACATAACAGGCCCATAGCTCTGTACGGATCTGGGGCTGAGGGTAAACAATGCAGGAACCTGTGCACTGTAGCTGTTGCACACTGATCACGACTGTAATGCTACGCAGGCTTTGATGTAAACATTTAACAAATACACTTTTTTTATGTAGGTGCATTTATTCTAGTTTTTTTAAAAGGCCTATGCCTTTAAGGGCTGATTTGTAGATTGATAAACATTTCTACAATAAGTAAAGTACTTTTTTTTACCTGCCCACCATACATTGTACAACTACCCACGTGAAACATCCAGGAAATCTAGGATTCTAGAGATGGTCAGCAATGTTTATTTTAAAAAGTAAAGCTTCTTTTGTGGTGACTTTCCAAGTGGAGGAGAAGCCTGCAGAACTTTAGTTGTCACTTAATGGTTTGTTTGTTTTTTTGCCACCAGTATAAAAAATGTATGGTATGCATTGATCTCTCGGGAAAAGTTTTAATGGTGCATTTCTTCCTTTTAGAACCGTCTACCTTGGTCTGAAATAGCTGTGGCCAAAGTCTTTGGAAAATATGTGTTAATCCAATACTGTATTAATACTTTTAATCAAGCCATTTTTCATTGTCATACTGATCTCACAGTATACGTTGAACTTTTGCTTCAATGGATGGGATAGCATGCTAGTCTCCATTTAACTTTATTCGTTTTTTCTTCAGAAATGTTCCTATTCCAACTGGCAGGACTCTCAATTTAAACTGAGAGCTGTCCTTACAACAGATGCTTGGTATACTTTGCAATCTGCAAAATGGACAAGTCATACCTGAACAATGCACTGACAAATGTTGCCCGGCACATGTTAATTAAGCAGAATTATGACAAAACCTAATTTTGTTTTTACCTTGGCAACATATTATGTATAATACAGTTATATATGGCTTAATGACTTAGGGCCTGTTCACACGACATCTGTTTTGTGTGCTGACCTGATCCGTACGCTCCTGCACTAAAAATGCATCCCAATGTATCCCTATGTGTTTTATGGGCTACAGTTCTCACGTGCGCAGTCCGTTCAGGTTACGACAGAAAAAATACTGCATGTCACATTTTGTACGGTCAGGAAATGGACCGGAAACGCAAAAGGCGTCAAAGACGCACTACACTGCAACATGCTAACAGCCCCACTTCATCATAAAAAAAAATAAAAAATTAAAAACTGGAACGCATCAAAAACGCGGGCAAAACGCACTGCATCAGTAGCACCGCGTCTGCAGATCCGCACCTGATCCGGACCTGATATCATGTGAACAGGCCCTTAAAGGGTTAACTGAAAGATATGCAATGAAATGGTTAAACAAAACCTCATTTATCCCTTACAAGCTGAAGTAAATGATTAAGCTTTAACCCAAAATGATAAATGCACTACAAAAACATTATAGTCTGTTGATCCTAATTTACCTCAAATAAAAATAAATAAATAAATGGTCTCCTGCATTTGAGTGACATGCAGTAAAGAAAACAAATGACTGTTTAATGCATTTTTGATTACACACATTTTTTAACAAAGGAAAAACAAATGCTTTCATACTACATTTTTCAGCAAACCGGCTGTTAAAGAATTAAATCGAAAATTGCTGAGAAGTAAAACAGTTTAAACATCGTATATAATGTACATATCTACACAGTATATGGTCTTAGTATGCCATCTAGTGGTTATCAATATTACTAGACAGTGTTTAGTATTGGTGCCACCATGTGGCTTCTTTGACAAGTACAATGTTTAAAATAATGCAACATAT